AAAACTTTTAATAGATTTTTTTTAGTTTTAAAATTAAAATTTAAGATAAATTTATTAATAAAATATTAAAAAAACTTATTATTTATATTTTATATTGTTGTAGGGAAAAATGATGGGTAGATGATAGGAAATTATAAGGGTAAGTATATCAGGTATAAACGGTATATCAGGTATAAGTGGTATATCAGGTATAATAGGTATAATAGGTATAAAGTAAAAATGTATATAAGTGATCTGAGAATGGTCAAAAAGTAGGAAGAACCAGAATAGGTACTGCGCAATTGTTAAATAAAAACCATCTTTATTTGATAAACTATTGCCTTGTGATTGATCCAGCATCGCATAACTAACGAAATTGCTGTGCGTAAAGTAACCATTGAGGACGCAAGATCGACAGACTGATCTGCGTCAGCATTACGAACTTTGGCCAAATTCACACACCTTTTTTGAGCAGAAACCACCCTGATCATTACACAGCATAAGACAGATCGAAGCGACTGACTCGCCGTAATTTCACCACAACAATATGTTGAATTTCACCAAGTTTTTATATCTAAAATAGGTTTTAAATTTTTTATTTTTAATATTCCATAAGCTTCTTCTAATTTTTTTTGGCACTAAAATAATGATTGAATTTTTACAACAAATTCACAAAGCTATATATAAAAATAATTTAAAAAAAATAAAAAAAAATAGTTTTTAAATATTATAAATACAGTATATATTATAAATTACTTGTTTTAATTTATTGTCAATTTCTTTTAAAGCTTTTTGTACACTTAAATTAATAACATAGGCAAAACATCAAAAATGATTTGTTTCAGCTGTAAATGAAATAGCTTGGTTTTTTTGGTTTCTATTTCATTTTTCTACTGTAATAGCAAATGTTAAATTGTTACTAGTCTTATCAATCACAACATCTATTATCTTTTAATTTAATAAATAAATATATATATATATTTCTTAAATAATAGGGTATTTTTTTTATAACATTTAAAATTTTTTAACTAAAATATTGTTTTTTATTTATTTTTTTAAATAATTAAAATATTTTTCTAAAAATTTATATAATATATATATTATCTATTAATAGTATTTATTATTTATTTATTTAATAAAAAATTTGAGTTTAATTATAAGCAAAAATTTAATAAAAGTTGATCTTAAACAAACTTGAAAATTTTTTAAATTAAAGTTTATATAATTATAATTAGTTTTGTAGAATTATTTGCAAAGAATAACTTTAATTATTACAATTTTAATAGTTTAATTATAAAAATTTTAACTTGTATTAGAAGCAAAGTACTTTTTTTACTTTAAATGTATATTAAATTTTATATAATTTTTTATATTAAAATTTTAAACACAAAGTTTAAAGTTATTTATTTTGAAAATTTCTAATAAAATTTTAACTTTTTACTTAATAAAGAAAATAAAAAATGACTTAAACTATATTTTTTATAATATAAGTAAGTTATAAAAATTAATATTTAAAATTTTTTAAAAACTTATTTAAAATTTTAATTATGTAGGCAAATTTGCTTGCATTACAATTTAAGTGATAATATCCAAATATTCCAGATCTGTGGATCCATGGTGTAATAATTAACACTTTACAGATCAAATTATAAAATATTAGTTCAACCCTATATGAGGATAGTTAAATAGAATTAATATAATATCTGATACTATAACTTGTAAAAATGTTGTTTCTCATAAGAAGCCATTTCACACACTGATCCAGTGAATGTTGAGATTGTGATTTTCAGAAAGGTGTTATGACACGATGATTGTTCAGTTGGTGTTATGATAATCGCTAAAGGTTGCAAGATATATAAGATGTCCATTTTCAACAAACAGATTTAATAATTGCTCCCCTAAAATTTGGTATTTTTTTATAGATCCCTGCCTTAGTCTCATTCCAATCTAGTAATAAACTGATCTAATAGTGCTTATCCTAAGAAGGCATCTGGCAGTAAGGTTCACTTTGTGCAAGAGTACTGTAAGTTGCTGTTTAGGCAATAAGAACCAATTATAAGTTTACCTTGAATGTTCTTGAGTATCATTTAAACAGATAAAAAATTAAATGATTAGTCCAATTGCAGGTTATGATAAAGGGATTTATTTTCAATGGAGCAAGCAGATGTTATGTAGCTTTATTTGCCATATAATGGATATTACTTCCAGTATACTCCTTTATTTCCTCTTAATTCCTCTCCAATAAATAAAGCAATTAGTAAAATTATCAGTAACTTGACAAACAAGCAGGACTTTGACATGTTTGTATCAACTTCTATTTATTAAAAAAAGTTAATAGCAACAACTGATATGTGAAGAAATCTTCATATAATTTAGTATATATAAAGATAAATTAATGTTATAGTATAGTTCTATATAACAATATATATAAATATATGTAAATATTAACCTTAATAAGAAGATCAAATATCTACAAATCAAACAAATGCCCAGGATGCAAGGAAAAAGAAAGCCTAGAGCACTTAATGCACAAACACTGGCAATACAAGATAACAGATGAATACAAAAGGATAATAAAAGAAGAAACCGAAGGGTGTTAAAGAAATTGCACCAAAGGGAAAGAGAAAGAAGACTCAAAACTGCAAATGCCATTAATTATGAACTCAGAGTGCACAAAAACCTTTATAGTAAAAGGAATTCTAATCAAAGAAATAACCCGATATATATATCAATTTGCAAGGGAAAAAACAAAAGAAGTATGCAGAAGAATTGTTAAGAGAATAACAAAAATAATCGATAAGCTATGGAAAAAAAGATGTGAAGAAATCACAGAATGGAAAGAGATAAACAATATTAGCAAAGTGGACAAAAGAAAGTAAAGACATGAATCATATCAAATAAAAATCGAAAGAGACTGAGAAAAAGAAGAAATAATAGAAAAAAGAACCTAGAAAGGAAATTGCTGAAAATATGGGTTAATAACATGAACAAAATGATAAGAAACAATTTTTTTTATTTATATACCAGTGACATTAACAATAGTGATACTTTGGCACATTAGTTTCAACTTCTATCTATTAGGAAAAGTTGATAGCAACAGTTAATATCTAGAAAACCTTAATATAATTTAGTATACACTCATCAATTAATGTTATAGCATAGTTTATATACAGAAATGTATATGAATATATGTAAATATTGACTTTAATAAAGTTTGCTAAGCAAGGTTAAGCTAGTTAAAAAAAAAAAAAAAAAAAAAAAATATATTAATCTTAATAAAGTTTGCTAAACAAGGTCTATGCTAGTATTTAATAATATAATAATATTCAAATATTTCTTAAGAGTTTGAAATTGTTAAAGTATTAAAAAGGCAGAATTCTAATGGATTTTAATATCAAGAATTGGTTAAAGAAATTCTTTCTTATTTACTAAATAATATTATTTCAAATCTTTTAAATATAAATAAAAATATTATATTGTCTTTACAAATTAATATATTTTCTTAATTAAACTATCTACTTTTTTGAATCTTTTATTAATTACTAAATTGATTATATAACATATACAATAGTAATGAGAAAATCTGATAGAATCATTATTTGAATTAAACTTATTTTTGATTATATTGCATACTAAAACTACATTAAAGCTATTATCAGTTGTAATTGTATTAATTTTTTGATCTAAATTAAATTTTTCTAAAATTTTTAATATATAATCACTAATTGCTATATCTATATGAGATTCTTAAAATCTAATAATTTCTAAAGTAAAATAATATAAATTTCAATTTCTATCAATAAAATGAATTGTAAGTACAATAAAACATTCCATCTTAATATTAGCCTATAAATCTGTTGTAATAAAAATCTTTTCTAAAATATTATTAATTATAGTATTAAGCTTAGATTATTGCTTTGTAAACATTTCTAATATATTATTATATACTGTTTGCTGTTTTGGAATCATAAATAATGGATCAAACTTATTTAATAGATTACAAAATAAAATAGTATCCACTATTGAAAAAGATTGTATAGTTTGAATAATCCATTTAATTAGAAGTATTGATTATTCTATTTATATCTTTTCAGGATAAAACTTGGCTTGATTCTTTTTACTTAATAAATTATGTTTACATAGATAATCTTGTATGCTTGATGTACTGGTCTTTAGTGAAAATTCAAAATTACATGTTAAATAGTAACAATGTTTAGGATCATCTTTATTTACATACTTTCAAACTTCTGATATATATCGATCTGAATTTTTTATATTAGTTTTTTCATTTTCAGATCTTTATATATTCGTATTAATATTTGTGTTAAATATTTCATATGATTCTAATTCCTTTGTTTCGATATTTAAATTATCATCTTCGAACTCTTTAAAATTATTAAAATCATTTATTTTGTTAAAAAAAAATACTATTGTACTGTATTTGATTTATATATTAAAATAATAAAGTTATTGATATATTGTTATTCAATTTTATCCAAAAATTCTATAAAAATAATTATATATATTGAATTCTTTAAATATCTAAATACTGTATCTAAATATTATTATACATTTTTGTCAAAGAATTCTATTAATAATACGTAGTTAAAAATAATATTATTATATTGTAACGATAGTAATAAAATAATTTATTTAAATATAATTGGATAAAATTAATGTACGACATTAAATTCCTTAAATATTGACTTTAAGTCAAAAGTTATCAACTTAAGACCCCCCATGTCTTCTATTTCGGGTAAAAAATCTCTGCTGGATTTAACTATATATGGTTATTATTTTGGTTGACCAAAATAAATTCGACGAATTACAGTATATATGTCATGCATCGAAAACCGAATTACAGTATATACAAGTATGTCGTGCATCGAAAACCGAAATTACAGTATGTCGTGCATCGAAAACCGAATTCGTTGGTGCGGTTCGATATTTTGAATTCGGCATAAATGATTACACATGTATCGTACGTACGTACGTTCCGTTCAAGACTTTGATAATAAAAAATGCTCAAAGAATATAAATACTGCGTTATTTTCTTCATCCTTTGCAATATTCTTTTCTTACTTTACTACTTTTCAGATTATCTTCAGCCCTCAGATTCGACCGTTACACTATCGTCTTTCATAGATGATACCTATATCAAACACCCTCCTGGTGTGGACCAGAACTTAACAATCTTCATCGGGATTTTTACCGTCTATGAGAAAATCGAGATTAGAAATTGCTTGCGCGAGGTGTATACACACAATAATGTCGCTCTAGCGCGATATCTCGGAGTAAAGAAATCGCCTGTGACGATTAGGTTTATCCTGGGACTGCCAAAGGATGAACATAATAAAGATAAGATGGAGGAGGAGTCTAAAATGTACGGGGATATTGTTATTTTAAATATTACAGAGAACGTGGACGATGGAAAGACGTTTGAATATTTCAAGTGGTTTGCTAAACATGTGAGTATTTTTTTTTTTTTTTTTAGGTTCGCACGTTAATAAGAATTCATTATTTTGAATACGCTTAGAGAGAAGATAATTATTTCGTCAAATTGGACGATGACGCTTTCATCCATCTTATTCACTACTATCGTGAACTTCAAGATTTACCAAGACAACGTGCATACTATGGCGCTGTGTACTATGGCAAAGGTCCAGATGATGATCGTGCATTCTCGTCCATGGGAGGTATGTTTTTTATTCCATTTTATTATAAACGTTTTATGCACTCTTTGATCCATTTTCTTAATCTCGAAATAAGGTGCGGGATATACACTCTCTCGTGACCTCATTATAGACATTGTTGGTTCAGACTGGGTTATTTCAAACGTCAATGGTTATGAGGATCGATTAGTGGGTGATTGGATATGTTATGTGGCTAGAGAGAAGAATTACTTTGTGCATTATGTCGGCTTTACAACAACTTGGAAGCCCATGCGCCAAATTCCATTCCATGATTTTGACAATGATCTGGACCTCGATTCCTCTGTTGAGATTATCTTAATCCATCAGTTAAAGGGCATCGAGAAGTGGAATTCTATGAAGAATACGTACCTCGAATATGAAGATGGAGCACCAATACTCAGAGTCATTCGGAATTCAACCACAAAAGGCCTGGTTACAAAGAAAGATATTGTTCCAGAATGCTGGAAGAGCGAACAGATTTGGAATCAAACTTTGCAGAATACCTACAAGAACTGGTTCTATGAGGCATGGGGTTTTAAGGAAGGGAAGTATTCTTATGGGCCTGCATGATATAGGGATTACTGAACAGAAATTTTATATATTTTATTTATTACATAATTTTGCAGTATTTATTATTGCTTGCTGCAAAAATTAATTAAGACTTTTTGTCAATTTTGTAATTAAAAGGTTAGAAGTGTTGCAAATTATAAAATGTCACAATATCGCAAAATCCAATTTAATATAATATCGTAATCTTCCTTATCTTGATATACCATAAAAATTTTATATAAACAGCATACATTGGTGATCATAAGTTTGAACAACTTTAAACATTATTTAATCAATAGTTAATCAAAAAATAAAAAAAAACGATATTTGTTTAAAAATAAAATATCAGGAAATTCTATTACATAATACTAGTAATTAATTCTAATATTTTAGATATTTATTATTTTTCTTGCTCAAATTTCATGGATCTCTTTTACTTTTTTTTAATTTCTATAAATTCTTAATCAAGTAAAGATCAAGACATTGAATGACCAGTTCATTAAGATAAAAATATATATATATATTGAAAACCTTTTTTTCTTTATGGTTTACATGTTTATAATTGTTGTTCTATAGGATTTATCAATTGCTTTTTATTATTTTCTTAAATTATTTTTCAATAATTTTGACAAATAATCTTATTTTATTTTGTTAATAAAACAATAAAATATATTTTTTTATAGATTAAAAATTCATTATATAAATAAAATTTTGCTTGTTTTTTTAATATTTTTATAAATTTTTGAATATATATATATATATATATAATACATTAATTTAATTTATTATTATTTATTTATTTATTATTATTTATTTATTTATTTATTATAAAAGAGTATTAGATGCAAACTTTATTGAAATATTTATTGTTATATATTATTTTTTTCTTAAGAAAAAAATAAAAACAAAAATCTAGTATTAGAAAGACACATTATTTGAAAAGACCAATATAATATGCTAAAGTTTCTAAGATATACCAAAATTAATACAGTTTTGAAATATATAATATTAAATAAAAAAGGCAATAATAATTTGTTTTAATAAAATCAATTTATTTATTCAATAAAATAAAAGTTTGATCTTGTTAATTTTTAAATAAAATTGGCAACTTTATATATATGTTTGGATAATATTTTTATATATAATAATTATAAGTTATAAATTAATAAAGATATAAAAAAGACCTGTGGGTCCATAGTATAGTGGTTAACACTTCACAGGTCAGATCATAAGATACCAGTTCAATCCCAGGTGAAGACAATTGAACTGAATCAAATATGGTATCTGGGGTTATAATCTATAAGAGCCCTGTTTCCTATAAGAAGTCATTTGCATGCTAATCCAGTAGAACGATAGGATTGTGATCTCCAAGAAAGGTATGTAGCATGTTGATCGTCTGGAAGTGGTACGATGATCATCAGACAAGTTGTCAAGAACCAACCATATATTTGGAAGTACAGACTGGGCTGTACTTCATCTTAACTAATCCAGGCAAGCCTTTCCCACTGTTAATTTCCAAAAGTAGAGAGCCTTGAAGAAAGCATCAATCCAGTGCCATCATGGGATAACACGGCTAGCCATATGGCGAGACAGAGTACATAGGAGTTGTGCCCTGCTTGATCAAAATGATTCCTAGATTTGGCAGCCTATACCAACCAGTTCGAATCTGGAGTGTCTACTAGGAGTTTAAGAATCGATTCGTAAGTGGCAGTGAATTCACATTTACGGAAAAGATCCTTAAGGAGTTATGCCCCACTTGGCCAAAATAGCTCCTAGATTTGGTAGTGTCCAACCAGTGATCAAAACCGGAGCATTCACTAGGGAGTATATGCTTGCGTCAAAGGTTCCCCTCTGCTCATGTGATGGATTGAGAGAAGTGTGATGTGAAAGGTAATCTATATAAAGATAATTAACAGTATAAGCCCCTCATAAGCATATAAGCCCTATAGGTTAGGTAGTTTAAAACTAGTAGTAGGATTTCTATCTCCTATAGCCTTCTGATATCACAAAGAAAAATCATTAAGTGATGGATTTCTGGGTATCAGATGAAAGTTAATAGGTTAGCATTTAGTTGTAGTCAATGTATTACAAAAGATGTTTGATGTAATATAATATTGAGTATCAATAAAGATTTGCATCTAATGTCATTTAATTTTTAAAAAAAAAATAAAATAAAATAAAATAAAATAAAGATATAAAAAAAATGTTACATATATATTTTTTTTCCAGTAGGTAAACATTATTTCTTTATTTGATATTGTATATAATAAAGTATATATCATGAAAGAAACAACATCCCTTTTATTATTTCAAAAAAATTAAATGCTAGCTTGCTACTTTACAATATTTAACTAATATCATAAAAAAATTCAAAATTAATATTAATGTATTAAATAAGATTATATAGTAGCCATGCCTACTATCTCAGAAAATTTTGTGAATTCTTTTGATTTTTTAAATGTAAAAAATTAAAAAGGAAAATCAAAGTAACTATAACTAAAACAAAATTAAGTATATTATAAAATCCATATATTGTATCAATAAAGATTAAGAACCCTTAGATAGGCTTATTGTCTTATTTTTTCAATTTTTCAGATACTATAGATAATAAAGCATACATGATATTATTTGTTATTATAATTGTTAATAGTGAGTTAGTTGTTATTGTTGTTGTTATAATCATTATTGTAATACAAAATTAGTTTGAGCTTGTTTGATTTTTGTTTTGATCTTTAAGTGAAATCTGATTGGATAATTAAAAAGTACTGATTATCTGAAGAATAAACTGATTTCAGTTTTTTGGATGAAAAATTTTTGAAGATTGAGGGTGGTATAGCAAATATTGCTACAAAAATATTGTGTATAAGGGTTAAATTAAAACAAATAGTAAATCCACTAACTTTGTTTGAGTGTGTGTTTTGAAAAGTATTTGATTTAGTAAGTATGATGGTAATAATATGAATAGTTTTTATGATAGAATAAAGGTAAAGAGGAATGCAAGAAAACTGAAGAAAAGAGAACTGCCATAGGTTTTTTTTATGTAATTAAAGGATAGCAAGACTCCCAAACTTGAATAGACTTTGACCAGAGGTTCTATTCCACTGTACCAATTGTTTTAAAAATTTTTGAATTCCTGAACTGGGGCTTACTTGCAATAAAGATAGTAAAATATTTTTTCTTGCTTAAAATTATTATAAAAAGAAAATTTTTAACAAAACAGATATGATCAGAAGAGAGTTTTTTTTTTTGAAATATTATGTTTGTTAAAATAGTTATTTGTATATATTAATATAAAAATAAATACTCTAATAAAAATAAGAAAATAAAGATAAATAAATAAATAAAAACTATTCTAAAACAACAATAATACAAAAAGCACAATATTAAATAATAATTGAAATAATAATATAAAGATTATTTTTGTTTTATCTTTTTAACTTCTAATTATATTAAAAACTGTAGTCAACTTATCTTCTTCAAAAAATCAACATAAAATAATTATATTATATTAAAAACAAGACCTTTAATATAAATAGATCCATGGCTGTATTACAATAACAAATTAGTTTTCAGGCCTAGTAATTATAAAAATTGATTCTTCTAATTATACCATTATAGTATTATAACTATTTATATAATAGGTATATATACCAAATTTAATACAACTAACAGTTAGCTATTATTTATCTTTTTTTTTTACTTATAAGAATTTTTAAAGTTGCATATATTATCTCAATTTTTTAATAGGCTAATTTACTTTATAAAGATTCTTAATATATTGATAAATAACAAAGTTTAACAAAACCTTGCATTTAATACTTATTAAAATAATAATAATAATATAATATTTTTTTTAAAATATATAGTATTTCAAGAGTAAAAATCAAATAAAAGATAATTTTTTTTTTCCGTAGAAGGGCATTAGATGCAAGTCTTTATTAAATTATATATGTATAATACACGAGTTATATCAAACATCTTTACAAAATATTTCTCTAAATTAATGTTAACCTATCTATGATTTAGTTTATGTCCAATGAGACAAGTTATACTCTTAAAGTGGTCCACCTCATTGACCTCTCAGTTTGATCAACACTATTAGTAACAAGGATAAGGAAAATCTTGTCTTTACAAGTGAAAACTGTCCTGACGGTTTCTATTTCAGCTTAATGGCCCTACTTTTTCTCCAATGGGCCACCGATCCAGATTGCATCAACTTCTAGCAGGTTATAGGGCTGTGTGGGTGCAGGATAGCCATTTTTGAAGCGATTAATCCAATATATCCTGGTTATATTCTTTCGTGCGATCTTGATCAACTAGGATTAACCTCTATATGGACGAACGGAATTGATTAAGATGGAGTACAACCCAGTCTATACATCCAAATTTTTGATATAGTGTTTTGTGTAACGTATTGTGGAGTTTAACCGGAATTAGACCAGAAGTCTTTCTTCATGCAATCCTTTCCTTATGTGATCTGTTGCAACCCCGTAACCACCGGAAAAGCCAGAAGTCTCATCTTCATGCAGCCTAATTAAAAAATAATTGTGATAAATTTTTGTAATCAGGCAGATTTGAACCCTAGACCTTCACCTGGTGACCTATGAAGCTTTACCACTGAGCTATAGACCCATAGGTCTTCAAATAAAAGATAATAAAGATCTTGAATAAAAATTAAATATAATAATATAATATATTCAAATTATATTAAATATCTTTACAAAAAAAAACAAACTTTTTTTATTAATCCTCTTGTTAATTAAAAAAACAGATATTCCAAAGTAATTTTATATTTCTTTATAATAAAATCTATATATTTTCTTTAATAATATTACTATCAAAAAATTCCAATCCTTTTTTACTTGTTTCTTTTTTTCTTTAAAATAAACTTTTAATATTTTTACAAGTAAATATAAGAAAAACTTACTTATAAAGTTAAAGGCAAAAATATTTTACTAAGAAAAAAAACTTGTAGAAACAATAATCTTTTTTTTTTCTTTAGAGATTTAAGATTTTAGAAA